GTCTGCAATGACATTATTTGCACTGAGAAACTCAGAGAGCACTTAGGGCATAGCAGGTCAGACAAGCCATGCACCTTAGCATAGCTGCCACATCTGTCTGGATGCAGAGATATTAAAATCCTTTGAGGAAACCACGTTCTTTGTTCATCTAGTATTTATTACTTTGAAGGTAGACTGAAAGTGGTAGTTTGCCTCTAGCAAATCAGAATATTCAAATAATACGTCATTTCCAATGAAAAGAAACATTGAATAATAATAGAAACCTTCCCTGCCTTCAGTAACTGGATGGAAACATCCCCTTTCTCCATTGTTTTTTCCAGTTATTTGGGACCTTAAGCAGTCCCAAACATAAATGAAAAACCTCAAAATGTTTCCTCTTAAGACTGATCTAGAGCATTTCTCAACTGCTCAGCAGCGGCACTGGTCATGTGTATCCTTTTTATCATCGGCCCCAAGTAGAAATGACTAGTGCCAGCAATTCTTGGCTTAGAAGGGGCTGTTCCCATTGTAGAGATGATAAATGCTTCTACACTGACAAGCCTTTACTCTTTCACACCTGTTTAACATTCCGGTAGTTTTTAGGTGCATTCCCAGAAACACTAATAGTATATCTTCATCAGCTTTCTACCACCAGTGCCGCCTTTTTGTCCATTTACAAAGCAGCACACGATGGAGAAAACTAAGAAAATATAGTGCCTGCAATTGCTCTGGGTGAGCTTCAGAGATGGGCTTCATTCTTGTTTTAACAGGAAGGCAGAAGAATCTCTTTCCATAACAGGAGCCAACAACCAGTAGGATTGCCTGTGTGATATCCTACTCTGGCCAGTGGTCAGTAGAAATGAACTGAGACAAATGTCAAAAAAATATATTTAAGCACTTCTGTCTTTCCCAGTGACACCACTTACTTACATTTCAATTGCTTTAGCAACAGCAATCATACACCATGGACATCACATGAAGACTATGTCCTTACAAAACCTTCTTTTATATTCCACTTCACAAATGAGAAAACTGCAGCACTGAAATGCCTGGTGTTGGAGAACTAAATAATAATCAAGTTCCATCTGTCTACATGAGATAATTCAAGACGATACAAGTTTGATTGATGGCTAAGATCCCCAGGAGACCACCACTGTGCTGGAAATGGCTTTTATCTAAATTCTGAGCTCTATTTTTTTTTCCCAATTGCATAGTTTCCTATAATTGGTTACTCTAACAGACTTCACAGAATACCTTCAGAAAAAAAGTGTTTCTGACAGTCACTTGCCAATTTTTTTAGACAATGACATTAGAGGCAGAGATTTCCAAAGAAATCAATCATTTTAAAAAGTATGAAAGGAAGTTAATAAACCTTTACATTCAGAAATTTTCGGATCACAAGAGGTGGACTTTTTGCCTAGACAATTTTAAGACACTGAGTATTAGGAGTTAAGTGCTTGTTAGTAGTTCCAGTAAATGAGTCTTCTTTATTTTTAGAGTATGTTGTATATTTTCGATAGTACCAAAACCTCAGATATGTATGGAAAATTTACAAGCACTTCACAAAATATATGTTGATTAAACAATCCATTTGATATTATTTGGTTGCCTCTGATGTTATGAATTAATTTCCTAAAGCATATTAAGAATTACAATATTCCAGTATACTGAACAACCTTCACAGGTGGTCCCAAGCTGCCTCTTGATTTTTTTCTCTTTTTTTTAAAATTAATTGAGTGAACAGAAGCAAATGATAGAGTACTTATTAAAAATTCAATCATCCATCTATCAGCAAAATTTGGAGATATTAATATCATCAGATATCTGAGATATATCTCTTCCACAACTGATTTTACACCAAATTTACCTTGATAATCTATCATGAAGAAATGAAAATACCTTAACACTTACAAGAGGAACATGCTATATATTATGCAATGTTATAGGTTTTCAACACAACATATTTATTTGAATACATATCAGCAATTGAAAACCATAAGAATAAAAATGAGTGTGTATGCCCCATTCTGAACTTCTATAGAATAGTTTCAAATTATTATTATGAGCAAAAAAATGTATTAAAACTGCAGATTCCCACAGAGCCATTGGTTTTACCACAAAAAGGACTCAGTGCAACCGTCTAGTCTGATCTTTCCCAGACTGTATTTCCTGCACCAAATAATAACTTTTTATGGATGTGCAAGCAAATCTTTTAAAAATTATGTTAGCTACCGAAAAGGAGCCTTTGCATAACCGAGAATCTCCTGATTTCCTGCATTAATTTCCTTCACTGGTAAAATGCTGCAACTAATTTTCTTTGTAAATCTGTCTAGCGGTGTTCAAGACTGCAGTCTTGTGTCATAAAAATAGGTTCCTTTCAAGCAGGTGATAGAATTTTCTGAATAGAAAATTCTTGAATATGGGTGTAAAAGACTCATAGCTCAGCCCAGCTACTTCCGCTGTGTCCTTTAAGTGTTGGACTAATACTTTGATCTATCACTTCTATCTATTTTCCACCATCTATCATTTAGCAACAGCATGAGCAGACCACTGGGTGTAGGAAATGCGTCTAAGCAAAGGGATGAAAAACTTCACAGAACATACAACAAAACAGAACTAAGGTGAAGAAGAAAAAAGCATGAGAGAAATATATTTCCAGAATGGCATCTTGGTTCCTGGGCTCTACTGTGTAAGTATGGCCTTTTCCACTGAGACAGCCTGTTTGATTTTCAAAGGTTCTTTATGAACATCAAAGCATGTTTGTTTGCAGTAGAGGTTTTTTTTCACCAATTGTAAAACTAGCTGCATCTTGCTTTTTCAATGCTTAATCAAAGTTCAGTTGACTCTGTCAAGCACTAATTAGTTATTTAATTGTTAGTTAACGACTTTGATAAACTTTAGATCTGGTGCCTAAGACTGTAAGTCCCCACTGATTAACACCTCATGCAGTGTTTATTCCTGTGCAGGTTTGGTTCTCTCAGCTTACAGTTTCTGAAATGCCAGAATTAAAACCCTGCATTATTAGCCAATTTTAATCTACATGAAACAGCTCAAGTGAAACACAGGGCAGCACACTGCACTTATAGGAACAGGACATCTTATAGGAGGGTTTAATTTTTCAGGAAAAAATCAATTCAATCAGTTTCTTACATAATTTTCTGAGAATACAGTAGGGCTTATGAAAGCTAATGAGGTCACCCAATACTAGAAGATATCTCAATTCTATGTACTTATTGTTAATGGTTTAAATAGAGACAACTTTTTCATTCATGTGCAGTACTGTAAACTATACTGGCTGAAAGGCTGAAGTCCAAGAACTTTATGCTTTCTTTCAAGTTTCATACAGATCAAACAGCAGCAGAATGAATTAAGCACTGTAATTTCATGCACTAACACTTAGCAAGGAAGAAACTTGAATTAGTATTCAGTGCCAAGTTTAGCAAGCCTTTTCATCCAGATGTATATTAGTATCTATCCCAACTGCATAATTTGGTTATGGCATTTCAATATGCTCAAAACCAGTGATGAACAGTCCAGAGATTCTAATTTTCTGAAACCATTCTAGTTATCAGCTAAAAAATCTCACACAGATGCCTGCTGCAAAGGACCAGTGAGCATTTAAGTCATTACTAAAGTATTAAAGATAATATCAAAACTAGAAGAAATTTTTAAAAATGGTTACTAGACTATTATTCCAAGACCTTAAACACAGATTCAATTTTAAGCTTGAGAACACAATTCTTAAATTTACCTGAAATCTGAGCTAGATCAAAGTAAGCACACACAGATTTGTTTTGTTTTTTTTTTTTTTTTTCAGGTGTGCTGAAGGTTGTTCAGACCAGTTTGGTAGACCCAGCAATTAAAATAAATAGCTGCTGCTGTAAATTCACATTCAAAAACTGCCTCCACTATGCTACACTTCCCAGTGTTTCTCCTTTCTTAAGAAACACAGGGCTAATGCTCAGTCTGGTGAGGATATGCCAGTCCTCTTTGTCTTTCTAACCATGCAGACTTAGACTTCACTGTCTAGCAGGTACTAACATCATGAAAACATTTGGTAAAAAAGGCATGTGGAGCATCCAGCTCTAATGAAGGGATGGTGTGAAGCTCCTGTCACTGGAGCAATGTCTAGTACTGGTCTGCCCTCTGTTCATCCCCAAATGGAAGTCTAGCTTGTGCTCAGTCAGTCATGAGTAAGACTGTTTAGAATATACCTACAGAGCAAGGGATGGGAAAACTTCTATATAAATAGCATAGTTAAAAAGAAACCAAGACCAAAACAAACATCCTACATCTCAACATTTTAAATGCTTTTTTTCCCTTCAAATTCCAGCTAGGGAGGATGAGTTTGGATTTCACGGTTAATAAAGACAACATTTGGAGATTGTTGTTCTTCTCTCTGGTAGTGTGCCATCCATCCTTTCATCTGTACACAGGCCTCCTTTTCTTGCTTGCAACAGTAAACAAATTAATTTCTATTTCCTAATTCTACTTGCTTTTGTCTCTTGAGTTTTGCTAGTAACCAGCAGCAATGCATTTGCGTCTACTGAGGACCCTAAGCACAGGTCAGTCAGCAAAGAACATTTTAGACTTCAAGTTTAGCCTCTTTTTCTTCCAAAGACTCCTAACCTAAGAAAATCTGCTAACAAGAGCAGGATGGGATGGGCCCTTTTCCTTAATAGGTGGTCATTTTGCAGGACTGGGTGTTTTGCTAACAGGAGAATGTTAATAGTTCTTGCTAGGCAGTGACTTTCACGATGCAGTATTTAATTAATAAACGTAATTTATATATACACAGTGAGACATAAAGATGACAATATGTTCCCAGAAGATTTTTTAGTAATTTAATTTTATAGCTTCCCAAGCATCTTAATTTTCTGTGCTCAAAAGAAAATATTGGCAACTTTTTTAAATTTTTTTTTTCTTTATTCTACACTCTGCTGATAAACAGGATACACTGCCACAAACTACAAAAGAGAAATGAAAATATCATATCAATGCTTTTGGAACACACTACTTACTGTGGTGGCACAGTGGATGTCTTTCCATACATTGGCTTCCCTGGAGAGATCTGAGACTTCAAAAAGGTTATCAAGAATAACTTCCCCAATCATGTCATGTCTAGAAAATCTGTCAAAATCATAAACACTGAAATGCAATTTCCTGTTGCTGAGTTGATCATAGGCTACAGGAAACTGAAAGGTTTCATCAAAGACAGGATTTAATGTCTTTCTGTGAACTCGTGTCTGAAACTTCTTTTTCCTATCTGGAAGCAGATAAATCTTAACGTAGGGGTCGGATGTTCCTGTGAAGTCTTTAGCTGGCAGATCTAAGGCTTTGACAATTGTGACAGCCAGAAGTTCATTTTCATAATCATACCGGAGAGTGAAGTTAAGTTTTCCACATGTTTTCACATCTTCTTGTTGCCCGTCAGAATCCACAGACTTCTGTTTGTAGAGTTCTGGTTTTATTCTCCCAATGCTGGTTGTCGTCTCTCCCCTTTGCAAAATCGGATCTGTCCCCATGTTAAAATCAACACTGGACACTTGCATCTGCCTTGGCAAGTGCCTCCTGAAAGAATTGTGCCTGCACACACATACACACATACACACACACACACAAAACAAGCCATGGTTATCTCTGAGAAAAGACCATTGCTAAACAGCAAATACAAGAAGACCACATTAATAAGGGTTCCTACCTTAAATATTATTTTTAAAATAATCCCCCCTCAATTATTTGCAAGTGTTAAAACATCTTTGAGAGACATAAGCATTCAGAATTAATTTCCTGACCTGAGAGACACCCAGTGTCTGGGAAATACATATATTTATAACCTTGCTTTCAGACTATGCAGCTGAAACTGAATTCATGTTCTTTCACAGAACAAGTTGACAGTTCCAGCATTGCTTGATCCTACTGTGCTAGGGCCCAAGTAAAGTACAGTCAGGCAGGAAAAAAAAAAAAAAAGCACTTGCAGAATTGTCATCAGTACTCCCTGATTTTTGGAGGCATTCCATGGTGGTTTTCCAATTAAATATTTACCAAGCTTCAAAGTGATGACTGTGAAAGGCGCCTGAGAGGGACAGCTATGTCTAGAGCTTTTTCACCACAGTGTCTTGCCATCCTACAACATTTTATATACACCTGCTTGGTATTTGCTACACTGAGGTACAATCTGCCTTCTCCAGTCCTTCTGGATTTTGTTCTGGCTGCAGTACATTTCAAAATTTTGGTCAACATTTTTCTGTGACAGCTTTTTTTTGCCTTCTGTTCTCATTGTCTGCTGTGCAGTGTATTGAAAGCTGATCCCTGTACTAACATACAATATGGTAAAATCCGTGTAATTCTGAATACAGTGTTGCATAAGCATATGTATTTATGGGCTTAACTTGGCTCATGAACATAAATGGAAATCTGTGCCATTCCTGCTATGTCTGAAATCAAACCCCTGGCATACCATACAGCCTTACAGTAATATAAAAACACTGGTCAAAAAGCTTCACAGCATTTATCAGCAGCAGATTCTATTACAACTACACTATCCAGTGTATGTTCTGGACATTTTCACATTTTCTTGCTACTTCACTACCCCAGCAATCAGCGCTGCAAAAGCTCACTACATCCTCCTGTGAGCACACTTAGTTGCCATTACAGAGCAATCCGATTGTCAGAATTTCCTCTGCTGTTTGCAATCAATTGCTTATTAATGCCAAATGTAGCCTTGCCTTATTGCTTGGTTTCCCTGTGGTGTTGTGTTCTGAAAACAAGAGGTGTCACAGCTGTGTGTTTCTTTCTTTAAATCAGAAATGCAAATTGTCCATTTGAAAGCAACCAGGAGTCATTTCATAGATATTATTTGTATTTTTGCTGTAAGTGAAGGGTTTGCAGAAGGCACGAGGCACAAAACTACCGCAGTTCTGCTGAGCAGAGATACAAGAGGGTAATCTGCAGCTCTTAAATAATAGAGAAGAACACTTCCCCCTTCAGCTGTTTCAGTACTACGAGGTGCTGGGAGCAGTCCTAGCACAACACAAGAACAGGGGAGGGAGAACTTCATAGTCTAGATTTGAAGTAGCTCCAAAAAATCCAGGTGTGATCTCAAATTTAGATGAACTATACAAGCCTCTTGTAACACATTCTGCCTTTCTTTCTTCACAGACAGACAAGTTGAAAGATTTCCTTTTTTCTTAAATGTTAGAAGTCCCTGAATTCATAGTAGATGATGTCTACATTGGAATGGAATGAGTAATGAAAAGGCCCCAATTAGTCAGAAAAGTACAATATTGTCCCCAGGGAGTTTCACAGTCTTTGTCCTCTGAGAGTCCAAACTCATAGGTCTGCCAAACACAGGGAAGGAACTGAGCTCCACCCAAAATGTAGTGCAATAAATGCTTGGGCAGGCAGCAATTCAGGCACCATCTCTCTAGTATCTTTGACTCATAATGAGGTCCATGAAGACCTGTGTTACTGCTGCTTCTATCACTGCTAAGGATACTTGTGCAGATAGGCCTTCCTGAGTGCTCCTCATACCTGCAGCTGTGGTACTGAGATGCCCAGATAATCGTAGAATCATAGAATGGTTCAAGTGGGAAGGGACCTTAAAGATCCCAATCCTTCTGCCATGGGGATATCATGTTTAAAGCCTGATGTACAGAAGCAGTGGATGTACATGTGCAGGGGAAATAGTGAAGCTGATTGTATGACATTTCCAGTTTGAGTGAAAACAGGTAGATGACAAATTCCCTTTTCTTCAACTTCTCTTGCATTTATGAAGATCTGGCTTAAAGCGTGTAAAAGTGTAAGACACCAAATCTGTGATATTTAAGGTACCAATCTTTCAAATTTTGAAGCTTTAGGCACACCAGATCCTCTAGTGAATGTAGTTGTTGCAAGAAGTCACTATGTAAAACAGTGCAGCTGTATGGCTGCACCCTGTGGGAACCAGAACCACTTTTGCTCTAGTAAGCCACAGCCCTAATTACATAGTGCCAAGTATCTGTTCTGAGTCACAGCATTTCACCAAGACAGCTAATTGGTCTGTTAATTATTAAGATGTTTCACTGTTGCCATGGCAACATATTTATCTTCCTTTGTTCTGCAATAACAAAGGGATTAATGACTGTGATAATGAAGTACAAGGATGTCAGACAACCAGGTTGTGAAAATGTGGCAAAGCTTCTAACGTGCAAATCCAAGTACTCCAACCTCTACTGACTCCTATGATAGACTTGCCTTCCATAGCATAGAATAGATGTATTTTGAGTGACAATAAATCTGTATGTCAATCTCTAATGTAAAACTAGGAATAGTGATAGTGTGAAGCTGATTTCTAGCTCAGTAAGATGCCATATGTATGAAAAAAGAGAGGGATAGGATGCTGATTTATGACATGACTCTGAGATTTATGATGGGTGACTCTGGTCTAGCTTTCCTAGATGGCATTAGAGCAATCTTTTGGACCAAATCCAGGAAAGAACATGTTCACTTGTGGTATTTAGACAGAATGGAGACTACTGTCTCTTCCTTGCTAACAGTAAGGTCAACACATATACCCATTTTTCTTTAACCTTAACATTCCCAGGCACCTCCCTTTTGTCCTTGTGCCTCTTGGGAACTGACTGACTCAACATGCTGTGCCAATGCTAGAGAGCCAAAAGTATGGTCTTTGAAAATACAGGTGAACCTTTGAAGAAGCAATAAACTGTGTTAGAGAATAGTTTCACAAAGTACTGGAAATAGTGGTGCACAATAACACATAGAAGAAATAAACACCAAAGGCAGTGTTGTAAATGAACATCACTGCTGCAGTTCTTCTATCATAGTGTATTGGTCAATTGGGATCAAAGACTAAAGAGTTTTTAACAAGAAGGTCTTTTCATATTATTGGGAAGTATAAAAAGGATAGAATTCTATCCAAGCAGAAATGTATCATTTTGCTACACTAACATGTCTCTGTGTTAAATGTACAGTCTAAAAATTGTGATCAGGTGCATTTTATTGTTGCTCTCAGTGGCTTATTAAAATCTTTGTGCTCAATTAAAATGACTTAATATGATTTTATTTTTTTTTATTAAGAAGTTGATGGCTGTTTGAACCTATCATAAGACTGGTTACAAGTGTTTTATTTGCCCCAGCTCAGGTGAGATCAGTGTAGAAAAGACAATCCAGACAGCTGAGGCTACATCACAATCAGGAATAATGCAGAAAGCTGGTCTAAATGTCCAGCCTTCTTCTCATACATGATATTCTTGGCAGCAATAATTAATATGAGCTGTCAGAAAGTTAAGACTCCCTTAAGGCAGGCAGCGGTATAAATAAAATGCATTTACAAACACACAGATTACTATATCTGGGTAATTTTTAAGACACATCTAATTCTAAACATTTTTTGTGGTGAGGATGTAGAGTTTTTCAGCAAACTGTAAAAGAAGGTGATATATCCAAACACCCTGCTATTAACTGGCTATGGTGCAACAATCAGGGTTTACTCAAAGCAAAGGAACTGTCTCTTTCAGGAAAGATTTAACCCTGATAATCCAGATAGGATAAAAAGAAAACTCCCTTACAAGGTTACCAACATATGCAGAAAGAGTAGGATTGATAGCAGGTTTTAATTTTGTAAAACTGTCCTTGGTGTCACAGATATTTCATAGGCATTTAGATCCCAGTCCAAATCACTCTGGAGGTCTGTGAGAATATTTTCACAGCCTGAAACAGCTCTAGATTATGTTCCTGGAACTTCTTTTTTCTCCTATAGTACCACAGGGACTACTCAAATCCTTTGCCAGCCAGCAATTTCTTCTATCTATTCAGGATGTCAGACAGTCTGATTACCTGGATTTACCTGTTGGTAAATGATGGATAAAACTCCTCCAATTAATATCCAGTTAGGTAATAGTGAGTTGAGTAACAGCCTTGTCACACTAAACTGTACCAGTTTTGGTCCCTCTGTGTTTAGTATAACAGTTACAATTTCAAAATTATCAACCCAGTAGCGTGGGAAATGTTCCTCAGAACGACTTGGATGCTGTGCTCCCTCTCTGAGCAGACAGATACAGTAGCTTGAGCCAGGTATAGCCAGGGTAATGTGGCTTAAAGCCATCTGTACAGTCTCATAATTCAGGAGATGATTCAGCTGCTGAAGTCAGTCAGACCTCCCCTGGCTGGAGTGCTCTCATTTTTGGGAGCCTCCTGTGGCTGCCTGTTGGCTGTTTCATGATGTTGGGATAGCTGGGAAAAAGCACTTGGTCACTCACCACCAAAATGAGCACACTCAACTGGCAAAACACTATCTTAGGGGCTCACAGAAGGCCAGCGCAGTATGTGCCACTAAAAGTAAAGCATGTGTCTTCTCCAATCTCGTGTCCTCTAATGATTCCTGTGAACATAGGCTTTTTGTTTGTTTGGTTTTTTGTTTGTTTGTTTTGTTTTGGTAACAGTGTGTTTCCTTAGCAAATGGTTTATTAAGAGAAAACTACTTCCTACATAGTATTCTAACTTATGGCATTACACAGTACTTCAGGTGCCTTCTCTAGCCTTAATTTCTCCATTAGTTTGTCAAACGTTTCCTTTTTCAATGTAGAAAGTGATCTTTGCAGTTCACTGTTTGTTTTCCATGCATTACATTTGCTGACAGTATCTGAAGAAAATCCTATTTGAAACTATAGGTCCCTGTACATCTTCACTACTTTACTACTACCTAATACAAAATAAAAGTTTGTTTCCTCCACTTTAATACCAAAGAAACCATTTCAGGAATGCTGCATGCATGTATTTTATTTAAAGACCTATACAGAATCTGTATTGCTTTAAGATCTGTCAATAAGGACGTATATATTTAGACTGGGGTTTTAATTCCTTTATAATAGACACCAAAATTGGCAAACCATGTCTTAAAGAAATGTGCCATCAACAGTTAATCTATAATTTATTTATAGGAGAGGGAAAGTTTCTTCTGCAAAAGCAGCAGATATATCTAAATAAACACCTCTGTCAAAAGATGTTGCAGTACTTTAAAAAACAACACTGAAGTCAGTCTTCCTACAATCAAAACCCAACAGGGAAATGATTAAAGTAGCAACATATGTATATACACAGTAATAGATTTTGTTTTCATATGTTAAAATAACCGTGTTAAGTGAAGGTACGCTACATGCTTCAGAATATTCTGTTCAAAGAACAGTGAAGTTTTACCTTCATATGACTACTGTTTCACCCATAACTGTGAAGAAACCTGTGAATTAGGATTTCAAGGATCCTGGAAATTTACAGCAGAGCATTCCCGTCTACCTGTTCATGGGAAAGGTGCCACAAACTCGAGTGCCTCTGACTTACCTTGACGACGACGTGGGCTCAGTGATCTGCCTCTGCATGCGAGCATGTCTGATCAGATGCTCTTTCAGTGCGTTCTGGACCTCTGCTGGTATATCTGGTGAAGTGTGGCTAATTTTCAGTGCAGCTTCAAGTACCTTTGTTGTAGGTTTCCCATTTTCTTTAACTTCCTTTTTCTCACTGGTCTCCAAAACCTCTGTAGGAGCACTGGAGTTGCTCTGTGGGACATTACTGGCATTGGAATTGAGAGGTTTGCTCCTCCAGCAGGGCCAACACAACTTCCAAAAGACAAAAAGTGAGACCACCAGCAGGGCGAGCCCACAGAAGCTGACAACTACCGCTAACAGACTGACTGAGACATCTGCAAAGAATTAGAAACAAAAATCATCATGACAGACAAACATGAAGAGAAAAATATAGTTAAAAATTACACAGGCAAGGGCATAGAAGCATTTTCATCATTATTTTTGCATAGAGTTTAAAAATCCATTTAAGGTTTTTGTTTTGTTTGTTTTGTTTTTTCCTTTTGGCTATCTAAGCCTGTACTTAAATATGTTATTATTTTCTAATATCTCCTTCACAAACCCTCAATTAACTGCTGTTCAGACCAAGGGCCAGTATATAGCCACGCACTCAGATGTACTTCTCAGGAAGTAAGAGACTACTGAAATAGTCCCCAAAACTCCTGGCTGTTGTTGCCAAAGGATTTAGAAATCAGTAGGCAAAAGAAATATTGCCCAGGGCTAAAGCAAAGTTATTATACTCAAACAACAAACGTCCTCACTAAGATTTAAATCAAACACATGAGATTCTGTTCCCAGAGTTAGATTTCCAAATTTAATAATAAGCACCTATATGGATAGCCTTCTCCTCATAAGCAACGTATACATCTCTTTGCTTACTGACTTTGGGTGGAGGACAGATAGCTCCCGAAAACATCAACAACTTAGATTTCAGTGAAGGGTTATGGATGCTTAATCCTTTAGAACTCCTATTTAGAACAGCAAGAACACATCTTGATGAAAAAGTTAAATCGCCTTCAACATTTTATATCAGTGCACTTGAGGGTAGACCAGATCTAAACTGCCAGGCTGATACACAGATTTCTTCAGGACTCGCCAAACTTTTGACTCTCTATGCCAACTACTTCAGTAACATTTGAAAACCCAATATTTAAGTGGTGTAAATAAGGACAGGATAAAGTTTGTCACAAATAAGAAATTTTTAGGGTTAAATCTTCAACTCTAGATCAAGTCTTCTTTAAACCAAGATAGCACATATACATCTGAATGTAAAATTCTGCTGTGAAAATGCAGCTGGTTTCACAGAACACTATCCAGATGCCCTGAGTTCTAAAGAGATCATACTGTACATTGAACTACCCTTCTGCCCTGTATTTGACTTTTGCTTGACACAATTGCTTATGATATCCAATAGCCTGGCCAAAAATAGAATAGATTTCGAAACAACAAAATTCTGTGAACACACTTGCATTTTAGGGGATGGTGGATCACCAGCACTGCCAGTTGAGCCCTAATTAGGAGTTTTATTCTATGTGACATGTTTCAGTTTGATTTTTCCAGTTTCATGTAATACTATAACTAAAAAATCCCTTTCCTTTTCAAAGGAGTCATTTGTAAGCTTTAAAAGTATTCACTAAATCGTGCTTAAATATCCCTCAAGTAATGACTGCTTCTGCTTGTTACAACAAGTTTTGACAGTTTAACAGCTAATATTTTGTATCCATAACTCCAGGCTACAGGCCACTAAACTGAATCAGTAGGAAAAGTGCAAAGAGGGTTTGAGCATATTTTTTCTAGATTTTCACAGGAAGAAAAGCAGTATGTATTGGGTCCACGAGACAGTATAAACCTCACCAGTCCCTTTGAGAGCAAAGAAAGAAAGATGAAGTAGAAAGACGCAAATAGAAAGATGAAGATGAAGGCTAGAAAGGTGAAGTAGAAAATTTGGGAATGTTTTCTTTATTAATGCATAATATCCAGGTACATCTCAGTTACAAATACTGAACTTAAGGCCCATTCATCATGAAAATGCACGAGAAAAGCAAAAGCAAATGTTGAAGTCTGGAGATTTGAAAGATACGGTTCTGTTCAGACTTACTTCACCTTTTGTCCTGGCCAGTGTCATTGGGTAATTGCAGATGTGCTCCTGGATTTAAGGAGTTTGCCCTGCCCTGAACAGAGGTATGTCTCCTTGACCATTTCCTGCCAGCCCCGAGAAAGGTGCCCCCCTTTTCTACCTGCAGATAAATGCCAAAACATAGCCCTTGGAATAAGCACGTCACCTTAGTGAGAAATTCATATAGCAAATTTTGGAAGATGCTTCCTTCCGTAAAATGAATGGATATGTAATTATATCAAATAATAATGTAACACAAGAAGCAAATGATAGTTTTACATATGATTTTTCTAGATAATTTATACCCAGTAGGGATTAATAATCTATTTGGTTAATCCAATATTTACCCTGATATTTTTTCCAGAGCCCACTAACTTTCACTTGCCTTGTGCATGTTCTGCAGGAGACTGTCCTATCTTGACATGTCAAATTAATAGATACTGAGTTTACAGCTTCTTTCAAAGGTTAATCACTTTGTTGCAAATTTGTATTTCTGATTTGTATTTTTGTAGTTCTAATTTACAGCCATTGCATCTTTCATGTTTTTGCATGAGAGATTAAAAGATATGCTACGCTTCATGAGACATGCCTATACAAAATGAAAATAAAATAAACTGTGCCAGGAAACAAACCCAGGAATCAAAACTCACTTGCCTATATCACTCCCTGGAATGATTTTAAAGTGGGCTGGTTTATACTCTCCCAGCCAATTCCTAGACATGGATCAGGTGTTAGAATAGGACAATGATCATTCTTAGTAGGTGACTTTGATGTGGTGCTTCTGTTTCAGCAGATGACAGACAGTAATAGATTGGAGAGAAGTTCTTGCATGTGAATTGATCTCAGTGCCAGGAACAGTCTGTGGTGGGTTGACTGATGGGTGCCAGGCGCCTGCCAGAGCTGCTCTATCACTCCCCTCCTCAGATGGACAGGGGAAAGAAAATATAAAAAAACTTGTGGGTTGAGATAAGGACAGGGAGAGATCATTCAGCAATTACTGTTATGGGCAAAAAAGACTCAGCTTGGGGAAATTAATTTATTACCAATCAAATCAGTGTAAAATGATGACAAATAAAATCAAATCACAGAACACCTTTCACCTGATCCTCACTTCTTCCTGGGCTCAATTTCACTCCTGATTTCTCTACCTCCTCCTGCCAGCAGCACAGGGGGAGAGGGAATGGGGCTACAGTCAGTTCATCACACATTGTCTCTGCTGTTCCTTCCCCTTTAAGGGCAGGACTCATCACACTCTTCCCCTGCTCCTCTTGTCTGTCCCTCCCACATGAGACATTCCTCCACAACTCCAGCATGAGCCTTTCCCACATTGTTCCAGTGCGGGTCCCTTCCCCTGGCTGTAGAACTTTAGGAGAAGATTGACCACGGGTTCACAAGTCATACCAGCAAACCTGCTCCAGTATGGGCTCCTCTCTCTCTCTGTGGGTTCACAGGCCCTCCCAGGAGTCTGCTCCAGCATGGACTTCCCACAGGGTCACAGCCTCATTCATGAAGTCACCTGCTCTGGCACGGGTCCTGCAGGAGCTGCAGGTCAGTTATCTGCTCCATGAGCTGCCTTACCATGGTCTTCACCACAGGCTGCAGGGGGATCTCTGCTCCGGTGTCTGGAGCACCTCCTCCTCTCCTTCTTCACTGACCTCTGTGTCTGCAGAGTTGTTCTGCTCACACACTTTCCCTCTTCCAGTTGCTGTTGCACAGATTTTTGTCCCCTTAAAAACATTATCCCAGAGGTGCTACCACTGCTGCTGGTGCACTCAGCGTTGAGCTGCAGTGGGTTTGTCTTAGAGCTGGCTGGTGTTGGCTCTATCAGACATGGTGTAAACTTCTAGCAGCTTCTCAGAGAAGCTGCCCTGTAGCCCCCCACTACCAAAACCTGGCCACACAACCCCCTTCCATCGTCAAAAATTAATTTAATTCATTGATACAGAGGTATGCCCCACAGAAGGAACTTTCCTGATAAACTGAACAAGCTGAATTTTCAGGCAGGCTGGCCAATTTTTTTTTCCCATTCTCAAAGTGACAAAAAGTAGAACTCTTGAAAAATGTTGATGATCTACCAGAAATGAAAATAAAAAACAAAATTAAAAACAAACAAACAAACAAACACCACCCCCTCTAAACCTCCTGCCCCCCAAATGAAAAACAAACAAAAAACCAAACCAAACCAACCAACCAAGCAAAACCCAAAAAACCAAAGAAGCAATTCAATTTTGGGTAATTTGCAATATTCCCAGCTCAGTTTAGAAATGGTTGGCATAATTAGGTTACATTTTGTGAGGAAGGCTTCTAGAAATGAAAATTGTAGGTTTTTTTTTCATTTAGAAAATGTTGAAACAGGATGTTTTAACAACTTTGAAACTGCTGGAAACATTTCAAAACCAGATATATGAAAATTGATCCCTTCCAGCAGAGTTTCAATTTGATGAATAGATACTATCAGCTGGAAAACATTCCATCAAAGCATTTCTACCCAATTCTAATTTAAGTTTTTCAATGCAAGACATTTTTCAAGCCTTCAAATAACTTGGTGTCTCCTTTCAACACCTACTGCTGTACTTCAGCTTTCTCTAAGCTGTTTTTCTGTATTTCTACTAAAATGTTCAAAATTTGAAGTTGCTTCCAAAATCTTTACAAAAAATACATGTTTCATAGCCCTAAAATAATCACATGAAATATCTGAAGTCTGAAGAGCAGAGACAAGGAGCTAGTTCTACCAACAGTTGTAGCCTCCATTTTTGCTATTTTACTAATAAATTAGAATCCCTCATATTGTATTTCATAATGCAACAGATACTTAAAGCGAAGCAAAATATTTTAATTGGAAAAAAACTGAGTAAAACCAGTTCACTACAAGGAAGTGTTTATTACATTTACATCCACAATTGCTAAAAAGCAATCAGTGTGCCATACAAATTGACATAAAAAGCATACTGCCTAATTTCCTTACTTCTGTCAGTCACTCTATTGAGCAATTGCAAGAGATTTGTTGTTACATGAAGACTGAAATCATCTCAAGAACAGTCGAATGGAGCTTCCCAAAGCCTTTGTGTGTTAGACTGGGTATTTCTCTTATGTTACCTTTTTCTAGGAGGTTTGGTTAAAGAATATAAAACACTAAGAGAGTTCTGCAGACTAGGAGCTTCTTCATGTCCCCGCCACAGATACCTGGTTAGGAAGGAAAACGGGTACTGAAGGATGGATATG